CTTTCTTCCGGGCAAATATTAAATTCGTATCGCAAGTGTAAAGTATAATTATCTCATATAAAAATACAGGCTCGAAAATGGGCATAATTTAATGAGACAATCATTTTAATTCGATAATTGATATTTTACACTTTGCCGATGACGCATAAAATAATTTTCAAGATATTTATAATTATATTTGTAATTAGTTTCTCCAGTAACTGATTTTTTAAGTGTTTTGAATAATGAAGAAAACATTGAAATAATTGCATCAAGCCACGAAGAGATTTTTACGTTATTACTATTTTTTTAAATATTTTTCTATTTATTTTTTATATTATTTTTCATCTTAAATCTGCATATTATATACAGTTATTGGTATATCTATTGGACCTAAAAAGATCTCTAAAAAGATCTCACTCATCGAAACTCCGATCTTTGCAAAGTTAGGGCTTTATTGAATTTTCAATAAAATTCTGATTTTTCTGAGCCCAGTCTCCAGATGATTGATAAAATTGATTCTTGAACGCCATTAAACCGGTTTTATTTCAAACGCACTCGCGTTACCCCAATGATTCCGCGAGACCCAATTTCATGAAGCTCGTGCCGGGTTCGCGTCACCCACTTCCGCCGGTTGATCAGATATACGCAGAAGTGAGGAAAACCGGCGTGCCCTTCGTTCACGCAGGTTGCATCCGCGACGGACGGTACGCGCGCATATCTGTTACGCACATATGTGTACGTTATATGCGTGCATACGCGTGCAGACCGCGGTCGGCGATGAGAGATCGTCGTCTGAAAATTGCAGGGGTAACCCCGACGTGCGCGCCTCAAAAACTGGGTCAAGTATATGATAATAAATAATCTGCGCTTATACTCGATCCGGTTTAAACGTACAGCATTCTACATATTCGGTTCGCATACATGCGTCATTGCATGCGTAAAACTCCAAAGCTACGATAAATTCATCAATCTGCAGTTTCTATCTAACTACATTTACTAATAAAATCCTAGGCGAGAATAAGGTCCATTTCTATTATTGTGGATTAACTTTAATCTCAGTTTAACTTGCTCTCTATCTTTTTCTGATTCTTAAAACTTATAGAAAAAAATAAAAACTAATTGTAAATTAAACCGAGATTAAAGTTATAATCTACGTTAGTATAGAAATGAAGATAAATAAAATAAATGTGCATATGTTTGAGATTCATGAGTTGATTTGTGAAAAGAAGCTTGAATTAAATAAATATATTAAGGAAATTTAGTAAAAACATTTTGAAAAAACTCTTAACAATTTATAGAAACTTGCAATGTGTTCATTTGCACATATATAAATCTATGTGCACGCAATGTGCACGTATGATTCGGTATACACGAGCTTGCATGTCTTCAGCTGTCTCCCTATTTAATTGCGTCTCAGGAGAAAAGGAGACCTCCGGTGAGGAAGAAAGAGAGTCAGTAAGACTCCGTCTGTGCACGACACTTATTTTTATGCCCACTCATTTGCACCCGCTTATGGTCGGGCACGTGCTACCCGGATCGATGAAAAGTGGTATTGTGTTGTACTCACAAACCCCGTAAATGCATTTAATGCCTATCGATTCCTCCATTAATTATCTCATGATAAGTTTACATTTTATCGTGGTATAATTAAAGCATTTTTGTTATGCTAAGCTCCAAAAAATAGAACAAGCGTTTTTACGATGTAAATATCACGTCTCACATTGTGTACGTCTCACATTTTAAACAACGCATTAAAAACGGTATAAAAATTATATTGGCATTTTTTCAACTTTATATAATAATAAAATTATTTTTGTTTTTAATCTTCGATTTAAGCGATTTTTTCTTAATAATTTCTCAAAATTTTCATTAAATTTAAGTATCTGAATATTATTAGAGCGGCCCTCTTTCATTTCGTACCGTAGATTATAAGAGACCGAAGGGCATCGCGTTCAGCCATGAAAACTGCAATAACGTTAAGAGGCTTAATCCCATACCATGACAGCGGTACGACGCATCGCAAATTTAAAATTACGCTGACAACTCACTCCGATAAGCATCCGACGACGAAGCAACAAATTGGCCATCGGCAGAATGATGCAAACCGCAAGCCGCATAATGTTCAAGGAAAAACAATGATAAATTATAACTTTATCCCCGAAAAATATTTGGGGTTAATATTGCTGAAGAAATAGGTATCATCGTGCATCGGTCTGTTTGCCATGCCGATTTGCATCGTAAATAAATAAGTATATACACTTGAAAACGAGGTGTGAGACCGATCATCAGTTTGATGATACTGGTTCGCATCACTAAGGTTCGCTATATAATATATCGCTGCATAAAAGACTTGAAACGTTTACAGCATGGAAAAGGATTGCGTATAAGAACGTGAATATAAACCAGACTTTTCATTGAGAACTGAATGCCTTTTTCATCTGTTATCTAAGCAGAACTCGTCAATTTTATCTTCGAGTGCATAATTAACGGTATTTTTGTAATTGATATTTATGTAATTAATTTACAAGAGAATTATAAATTTTTTTATTTTCCTCGAGATCTCTATAGCTACGCTCGCGTTGTCTCTACAAATTCCACAGTTGGAAGCCATGCGGCATAACGAAAAATAGAAGGGCAATAGATAATTCATACACCTGCAATTCTTCGGTCACTGTAAAAGGCTGTTTTCTAACAAGGTACATAGAGTGTAACACTGCGTCCAACACAAAGTATTTCTACTGTGACACAGTGTTACACTGCTCGACATTGTAAAAAGCTAAGTATGAACCACGATGTAAGAATAATTCTTACACAGTGATTCTAATTGTTCCAACAAGTATGTTACTCAGTGGAACACATTGTAATGTCACTGTGTTCCACTGGGTAATCTTAGCCATGTATCCTAGCTGGAAAACAGCCACGGTCACTTTCGCGTAACGTTTTATTCGTATCTCTGGGGGACGGTACGCGCTACGTGTATATGTACATACATGGATGCGTTGTATCTTTAATCAAATAAGAAACAAAGACGAGAGGAACAGCCGATGACTCGGGCTTTTCCAGGCTAAAAGAACGTCGAACAGCTGGCGCAAGGTGCCCCCTTTCTGCGTTCCTGCCGAAAGTCCGCTTGTTGGGCGCAACCTTGCGCAGTGTTTCCTCACAGCCACGTGCCAACCGAACCCCCGAGCTCACGAGTGTAAAAAGCTCGAAATTCGTCACCTAATTGACGGATGAACATTATGATACCTCAGCGATCCAACATCGCGATTTCTATCTTTCTTAAAATTGAATTAATGGCCGACGTTTTGTTCCTATTTCGTCGTACCTCTACAAAATATGCGTTTCTTTTTTTGTGCTATATATAATGATTGTGAATTAATAATAATATATAATGAGTTAATAACAAAAACAAAGTTCAGCATTTTTTAGCTACTACTTTATGTGTGTGTGTGTGTCATAAAATTTTAAAATAAAATTCTAGGTAAAAAATCTAGATACCCAGGTAGCACAGAAAGTTCAAAAAGAATGCAATTAGTTAAGTTTATTTTCATAAATGCAAAAAGAATTTTTAAACTCATTGTCAGAATTGATAACGCATACAATTGGATATATGAATAAATTCTTTTTGAACTCTGTAAACTATATATTGACATATATCAGTAATTCTAGCTCTTATTTCACGTTCTTACTGTAAAATGTAATCGCGTTTTCAAAAAGCTTTATCTCAATGATACGCGTGTTATACTGGAGATCAAGCTCCACTGTTTTACTGACAATTTGTATGTCATATATGTATGCGTGCAAAATTGCTGTAGTAGTATGTAGTGATGTGATATATGTTTACTATTGCATCAATGTTGCACACATACATACGTACGCATTTTCATACAATGTTTTCTCTCATATTAAAACGCTTAGGTTCATTATAATTATAAAAGCACAGTACTATTGTTTCATGTAAGCCCCAATGCGACTGAAGCTTGTTTTATACGTACAAAATATAACTCTTATTATCAATCAAATGTTGTTACGAGTCAATGCTAGAAGTTGATAACAAAATTTAACTGTAATTTTCACAAATTTTTTGTTTTTCATACAAAATCGTTTTATACTCGCATTCCGTTAATATCTATATAATTTAATTTTAAAAAAGGATTTTTAAATTTGTAAAAGAAATATGAAAACATTATACAAAAATTAGTGCGTTTCGTGAGTAAAATAGACGCATCCTCTCCTTATATAAGTCCCATATATATGCAGAGGTCGCCAACGTCCGAGAAATCGGACATATAATGAAGAATATATGTAGACTTAATTACTTCTAATTTTGCAACTTATCTATTTGTTTCGTATAATGTTTTTAAAATACACTATCAGATATAACTTAGCGTTTAATTTAATTTTTTGGGCTTCTGCACACAGGACCACTTTTTCATTGAAACAAAAGAATTAAAAATTGGCTATAGCACCTGCAATTTTTACCTCGCGACAAACGTTGCCGCGTCTTGCGTGTAAGAGCCATTTATATTTCTAATTCTAGATGCGAACCTATTCATTAAAAAATAAAATATTAGTTGCAATATATTAATATACGTTAAGATTTAAGAAATACGAACAAAATACTATAAACGATAATGTATTAGCCGGGTTTTATTTAGTGCAGCTGGTGTTACCGTTATTGCATTGCCACCCAAAAAGCTTCTCGTTAATTTGCTATCTCGAAAGTTTATATATTTCTGCGAATCTTGTAACTGGCATCAATTACTTTATTACTATAAGACCGGTGTAGAAAGTAATATGCGGGCGATTTGTAAATAAAAATGCAATTAATTGCTCGACTGTTAATCTATCTTCAGCAGAAAACATAAACTACTGTATTATCCGATAAGGTAATATAGTAGTGCAGAGGAGCAATGAATCAGACACGTATCTGACCAGTCAGACACGTCGGTAAGTTCATCGGTCTACGTGACCCAGCGATTCATTGATCCTCAGTTCTCACTGTACCAACAATTCTGTAGTATTTCGAAGATGTCACTAACGTCGCTGTTTGTAATTTAAAGAGCCTGATGTGCTATAGCAGCTAACCTCTCTCTTCAAACTCACTATTCGACAAGAAATTTCTTGTCGAGCAAACTTCCGTGAGATGATTCACATTTTCATAAATGAAATCACGTGAACTGCTCACTTTTCACACATTTTCATTATATTTTACGTTAGTTACACAATCGATACCTTAAACGCAAGATCCACGTTGTGTTTGGTTATGTGTACTATTCTTTCCACAAAAAGTCAAAACTCGATCTTTATAGAAGAATATATATATATATGAAATTAAATTTGCAATTTACAAGTTCATTTAATAATATATAGTTTATTTTATACCTTTCTCAATACTGCACAGAATACGCAATATTAAAATCTAATCTGTGACAGAAGATAACTAAGTGGTCCCTCCTGTGTGACTTACGAATATTGTAAATATGAATCTCCTTCCAACTACGCACGAGGAATTCAGTCACCCAGAATATTGGAACACGTTCTTCAAAAAGTGTGGCAAAAAGGCATTCGAATGGTAAATATTCTATAGTTATGTTAATGTTTTTTTTATATCTTTTGTAACTAGCTGTTCACTATTTTGTCTGACCTCAGGTATGCTGAATATCCACAATTATGCGAAATACTTGTGAAATATGTCAAAATGAAGGATGACATCCTGATCGTTGGTTGCGGTAATTCTACATTAAGCATGTCTTTGTACGACACTGGTTACAGGTACAGCTTATATATATTTTTTTGCAACGAGCAATCATAATATGTAGTTTGCTAAGTTTCTAATGTGTAGTCGATGCTTAAATTTCTATGGAAGAATAAATCAATATTGATTTTACAGAAATATCATTAATATCGATATATCACACATTGTGATCAAACAAATGCGCGATATAAATAACAGTACAAGGCCAGATCTGATATACGAATATATGGATGCCACGCAAATGACATATCCTGATGATAAATTTAGTGTGGTTCTTGACAAAGGTACACTGGACGCTCTAATGCCAGATGCCAAACAGACAACGGTATCTAAAGTTGATAAATATTTCAAGGTAAGTTAATAATTATTTCTCGAAAAATTCCCTTTCTTTAATAAACTAAAATTAGTTAAAATTTAGGAAATCACACGAGTGTTACGGAATGGAGGCAGATACATCTGCATATCATTGCTACAAGAGCACATTTTACGTAAACTCTTGTCATACTTTCCTGCTTCGGGTTTCATGTTTCGCATAGTACGATGCCATGAAGCCGAGTCGAAAGCGGGTGTGGAAGAAGGCAGTGCGCTCCCTGTCTTCGTGATCGTTGCTACAAAATTCACTAAATTATCCCAAAATGTACGTTCTAGCCAGAGATCTTTAGAATCCTTATGTCGCCATCTTAATCTTATTATTAATCGGATAAGCAAGTTTGTCGAACTTATTTTTATAATTGTAATCCGAATAGGTTCTCGAGATAGCTCTGGTCGATGGCCCACCTGAACGATTATCTACGACGGATGACATGGTATCCGCCGTATTGTCCGCGCAACAATCGGCACTGACGTGCTACGGTCTTTATAAGAGAAGCGTCGCCGATATGGGTGAAGTATCGTTGGATTTAAATCGTCCAGGTGAGGAGCATCCACGGTACACCGTCTACATTCTCGATCAACCACGTACGCGTAGGGCAAAGACATACGCGGCATTCATTGTTCCACAGGGAAAGTACGTTTGAGTTACTATTTGAATAAGAGCTTTTGCTATCAAGTTGTTATAAATTGCAAGACTATATTTTTTATTCTTTCTCATCAGAGAAACGGATTGGTTGTTTAATACAAAGGAAGGGCGACAGCAGGTCCTGAAAAGCGCGCAGCACGACAGACTCGCAATTGTCACCTTACGCAGAGAACACAAATTTGAAAGTTGGGACGCCGTGAAAACAGAGTTAGAAGATTTCGTTCGTAATTTAGCACCGGCCGGTTTCTGCGACAAGAACGATATTCCCTTTCTGTCTCTGGGTACCGATGTTGGAGTTCGAAACATTTGCTACGAAGGAAAGAGCGACATGAGTGGACCGTTTGTTATCGAAGAAGTGGAAAATGATGGCCACGAGTTCAGGCGGCTCGTGTTCCTGAATAATCCGTATGTCATTCAGAGCGAAGCCAGACTGAAAGAAGGTATTAATTTACAATGAGTTTCGGAAATTCTACGATAATGATCGCACACGATTGTGGTTGATGACACAATTATTTACAGCAAAATCTAGACGTGGTAAAACGAAGAAAGTTGCCGATCCTGGATTCCTGGCTTGTGAACATCACATACATATGAGTGCTGGAGTGAATGCGGTAATCGATACGAAAGAAAAGGACGAAATTATGATTATAGGACTCGGAGGTGGTGGTCTTTGCATGTTCTTACATCAATGTTTCCCCAAAGTATGTGTCGGATAGCATTCGTTATTATCAGGTCAAACGTTACACATCTGAATCTTTCCTAATATAAATCCTAATATAAAATTTTAATTTTTTTCCAGCTAAAAATTACTGCGGTCGAAATTGACAAGGCGATGCTAAAAGTAGCTACCGAATACTTCAATCTCGTTCTTGATGATCGAATGAAAGTGGAAATCGCGGATGGAATTCAATATATTAAAAATGTTGCGGCGTCCGAGACAAAGTACAAGGCAATACTTTTCGATATCGATAGCAAAGATACTACTGTCGGAATGAGTTGTCCGCCTAAACAATTTCTTGAAATGTCAGTGTTGAACGCAGTTGCGGCGTGCTTAACGAAAAACGGTCTTTTTATCTTGAATTTGGTCAGCAGAGATAAAAATTTGAAACAGAAAGCCAAAGATGATTTAAAATCGGTATTCCAATCGATCACTTGTCACCCCATTCAAGATGAAATAAATGAAATCGTTATGTGTTCCATCGAAAAACAGAATCCGAAAGAATGGAAAAACAGACTTAGACTCGCCGCCATCGATTTAAACAAGCAAGCAACTGCGACAAAATTATCCTCTTTCAAGGAATCATTTGACGTCTCCACACTTTTAGAAAGTTTATCTGCGGAATCCTAATCACTTTGTACAAATATCTTCGTTGTGATAAATAAAATTAGAAATATAATTTCTACAATGGTTTAACATATAAATTATAAAATTTCCTTTTTACAAATTTATTATCTGAAATTAAAATAAGAATTAATTCGACTCACCGACACGATGCGCAGCAGCAGAGTTACGAAATTTGTTGAACTGTAAAACAGAAATATATTCAAGTTACAGCAAGATCCAAAAAAATTCATGTTTCAAAAAAGAATTATTTTATTTTTTATCTGTTTCCAGATGTTTCATAAAATAATTATTAGGGTGCGGATGAAGTATTGATTCGTAAGAACAATTTTCTTTAAAATGCCAAAATCTTTAGGGGAAAAATTAATTTTAAATTGACAAAAATATTTATGATTAATAAAACTGAGCTTCGTGTCTCCTCGAAAAATGTTATCTCATTTCATCGAGATCATAACTGAACATCCGACATCCGCACCCTAATAATTATATATAAGATATTTTTTATTTTCAGTGTTTTACATATCTTTTTTCTGAAATAAAATCTTTTACGAAATTTAACAAGTAAAAGGTTAGTTTTTTTTATAGATGATTCAAGTAATCGTAAACCTTAAACGCATTGAAAAAATATGTTACACATAGAAAAATATTAAATTAATGTCATGAATATCCTGTTAAATATTTGAAATAACAAAAACTGGAAATATTTTATAGATATATTGCGCGATAATACAAAATCAGCGCCGTGCGATTATCACGGAGATAAATATGCTTAATTCCGCGAGTGTAACAATACATAAATAATAAGTCGCGCTCACCCCGCGAATTGCTTCACCGTCGTCCGACACCTTCCAGATCTCTTCCTCTCAGGTTTCTTCATTGCGCTCGTATACCACATTCACGGCAAGATTAATTATACGATCGCGCGCGCGCTAATTGCAAGATACACGACGATCGCGCGGCACTTTGCACGACACTCCCGACGTTGATTACACACGTAACCGCGCATCGCGACGGAAAGCGAAATATGAAGCGCAAAAATACAATGTCCGGCGGCATCCCGACAAACCGAGGCGACGAGAAGGTCTCTCTCGACGTGGCGAGGAATTCGAAAGACGAGCGATTAACTTGACGCGCGACCGGCGCGTCCGACGCCACCGCACGACGGCGACGCTACATTCGTTGTTCGAACTGCGAATTACGGGAAGCGCATTTCAAACGCGTTTCACGACGAATGATGCACGATGTTTCGTTCGCGTTATTTCGCGACGATTGTTCTCTCGTATCGCAACGCAAATGAACATTCTCACGGAGATTACAATTACGGTTGAACGGTCCGCGAAGCACGCGGGCGTTCGGAAACACGATCATTGCTCCCTCGACTGACTCGCGACGCATCTCGATCGAATGAATCTCGCGAACGTGAGTATGTATGTTTCGAATCGTGTCAACCGATGTGAGAATGCCGAGATTACGTGCCCGCACGAATGCGAAAGATATCAAAATACCGGATTAACTGTGACTCCGCTTGCTAACTGAACGCCGCTCGGCTCGGAGTCGATTCGTCCGTTTCCGCGATGTTCCGCGACGTTCCGCGACAATCAAGGTGGCAACTTAAATTCATTCCGATACAACGTGAATCGAATCGACGTCGAATCAAGATACAAACATATATAATCGAAATTGATATCACTCGTGGTATCAATGTATGTTTCGAAATTAAAATTAATAAAGTCATAAAAAAGATAATAATCCCGAAAATAATAATCAATAACAAAATGATATGTCGCGGCTTTTCATTATTTTGTTATTGCGATTCACGTAGTACCTCGCCGCTCTCGCTCAATTTAAACATAATTATATACAAATTGTATTTTGAGATTACGTTCGGAGACAATTTCAAAGTGCAACGTGCAGCATCCAAGGAAAAGTAATTGTCGCCCGTAATAATCAATTTATAATTTACAGTTCGGTTATAGAAAATACTTTTGAAATACTCATAAACTTACTGGTTACGTAAAAAAATATATACATTTACGTAAAAATCCAATTTAACAATATTTATATATGATGCATTTTTTGGCAACTTTATTCCTCCATTAATTAATCATATGCAATCGTGCACTCGTATTTACAGAGACACAATTTCATTACAAGCAACTGGAATTCAGGCGCATTCAACAACAGTCGATTACGATAATTGACTAAACATTCAACAGTAGGCGCAAACAATTTTACATATGTATTCTCCTTCACCACACATACTTTTTTTATATAACTTCTGCTTTTTCATACATACCTTTTTAATGTATAATACTATAATACAATAAATCATTCAAATATTCTCATGTCAATATATATTATAAATTTATATCAAAGTACAGGAACGTATCTACAGTAAATAAATATTTACAAGTTCATAAATAAAAAAAAAACGTTTAAATTATCATTCTATACATTGACATATAGGAGGCATTTGTAGTATATATGATCAAAAGATTCATATGAATGTTCAACGTAAAGTTAATTTTTTTATGTGTAGTCATTGCGCTTAATAAATTAATATTGAAAATGTAAATACAGAAAATGTTGGTCCGGTTAAATAAATATTCATTATTTAATATCGAGATTTTATTTCCGTACGACTGCTCCCATAAATAATCGTTCCTTAACTGATATTTAACGTATTTTCTCTTTTCAAAAACAGAATTTTTCAACTTTATTTAAAAATTACTATATATATATATAATATATATATATTATTAATAAATATATATTTTACCTGTCATATACATATATTTACATATAAATAAATATATTATATATAATTATACGATGAATGAGATTGAGATTTATAAATGGGAACAGTTTGTACAGAAGTTTTATATATATATGTATGTGTATGTATATATAAAACTTGATAAATTAAAACAATCCGTAGAGAATAATAGAACTACCCGTGTCGCAATATTATCATTTTACTTGCTCTACAATATATTTACATGATTTCTTATACACATTTATTTAAAAACATCATTCGTTCAAACATCCACACTCAAACATGTGGTATTAAATTTCTAATCGTTCATACGCTTATAAAAATTAAAACGTCGTGTAAGCGCCATGAATTTTCTATTTAAAGAAAATTAATATCTTATGTAAATTAATATCTTAATGTAAATGACAGACGTTTTGCAGTTATAGACTAGCATAAGATAACCACGCAAAAATAATGTAGCTCGTGTCCCGTAATCCTTCTAAAACGTTACTAATAAATAATTAGTAACATAAAAGAATTAAAAAATTTCATTCTCTTGACAATTAAAACATAGATGTGTAAATCGTTATAAATAATTCTTATCGTAAACTAAATAAATAACACGAACAGAGGAGATGTATTATTATATAATTCTACTAACTGTAAATAAACGATATGTAATGTTCTCTTACGTCGTGATTCTTAAATATAATATAATATTTAATTATAATCTATATGCTTTTTCGACGGATATAAAATAACATATTAATTCAACTAAATATTTTAAAATATTCTTGTAATAACGCGTAAACAGATATGTAGAAAAACTCGGAAATTATTTAAATCAATACAAAGTATCTACAATCCAAAGTATGCATTTCTCACGTGGAAAGAACGATTTAGCTGAAAGATCTAAAAATAATTTTGTTAGAAACTCAAAAATAATACATTGCTGTAAAACATTTTGATAGTCTAGCAATCAATTTGAATTTCCAACAAAATTATGCTCAGATTATATCAAAATTCTTAGAAATTCCAGCAAAATCGTTCTTTCCGTGTACATTAAAAGAAATTTTACATTTCGCAATTTTACCAGTTATCGGACTAAACTTTCTCATAGTGTCTCTAAACACAGATTTTAAGTAACATATACGATTGCATTTGGCTATAAATAATTTCGGATTACGATATAAAATAATATATAGTAATGTATTGTGATGTAATAATTGCAGGTCATTTTTTTTCCTCGTGTTTGCGCGATTGCCTGCTATTTATCGATGAAGCGTACTCTTTTATATTAAATTAGAAAGAATAATAAATATCACACAAACGGTATTCTGTAACCGGGTTCCACATTTTCGTTTAATTATGATCTTTACATCGTTCTATAAATATCACGTACACAAATTCATTATAATAGTGATGATTTCATTTAATTCAACGGAAACTACAATATACAATTACTAAAGGATTTTGTCGTAACGCCCATAAATGATCACCGGATTGACGATATATGCGAGTAACGATAAACTTACATCTAAAAAATATATTTCCTAAAAACTTGTGAAAAAAGTCTCTCGATCACTGTCCACGTATTCCACATACGTTTCAGAAAATAATTATTTATAGTTTTTAAATGCATGTTAAGTAATAGGACACATTTTCGGTTAAAGTTTAAGTCATTCTGAATTCACTTACTCCTCCTAGTCACTTTTCTGCTTTACAATCCTTCTCTCCTTTTCTACACCTCTTCGCCCTCAATTTGCATTTGCGTTTCGCAAATCTCAAGAGGATTTTATCACAGTACATTTCTTTATCAAATACAAAATGCTGGCACAATCGTTGTTTATCTCTGGAATATCTTTTCAACGCATGTAAAATTAGTATGTCGACAAAGAAACGTCTGCATTTTACATTTAACGCTAAACAATAACCGGCTATTATTATTTATTATTTTAATTAAATAACAGTCGTGCTATATGCTGTCATATATCGAAAATTATACGACTGCATTTAGCATTAAATTCGCGATATATATACATAAATGTAAATCTCAGGGAAAGGAAAAAGACAATTAAGACTGATGTTGATATCACTACGTAATCTAAAAATTCGTGTTTTTACAGAATAAATATTACTTAACATATTATTGTTGGAAGACGAGAACGGCAGATCAGAGAATTGCTTTCAAATCAAATAACATTTCGAGGAAGATGGAGCAAATAGAAAACATTTAAAAGCTTCATACTTTTCAAATTCTTTCCCATTCATTAAATAAAATTTGCAAAATTTTCAATAATAACAATTAAAAGTTTGAATGCAAAAAAGTCTATTATTTACAATTGTTATTTATAAAAAGAGAAAAAAAACAAGAAATAAGAGAAATCTAAAACGGTTTAATATTTTATCAAGTATATCGCTTCACTTGATGACGAAATAAATAATGAAAACTGTCAATTTTTTGGTTGTAGCTATCTTTCTTCTGACCTGTGATTTTCTTAATTATAAAATCTTTTAATTCTTATAAAAACTATTGTTAGCAGAGGACCAGTATGAAATGACTTTTTTTGTATATAGATAAACTAGACAAATCCATGTTAATTAATATTTTAATATGTTAATTAATATTTTAATGTAAAAAAATTTATTTGTTAAAAAAACTGAGTGTATCTAATTCTTGCAGGCAAATAAAGATCAATTTCTCTTTGAAACTTTACATTCATTTAAAGTTTAAAGAGCCAATCGAAAATTTATAAGGCCGAAAATAATAAATGGAAATATGTATATATGTAAATTAAGTATATGTATATAGTGCGTTTATAAAGTACCATGCCAAAACTTTATATATGAAACCGGAGAAAAAGCAACTTGATTTCTAAGACAAAAAGATTTCATTTTCTCTCATTTTTGATACCATTTCATATATTCATATGTACCATTCATATAACAATAAAAATTAGTTCTCTTTGATTACGCAACAGTAGTAAATGTTGGCTACAATATTGCTATTGTTAATGTTCTAAGATTTTGCTCGTTCGCAATATTTCACTTGCTCATTCACTCTCTTTTTCTTAATTTTTCTCTTTGGCGATGATTTATAGGTAGAAATTAAATAATCTGATTTAAAACAAAAACATAGAAATGTTCTCTAGACCGTTGTAGTTCTCTGCCGTTGCATCGATTAAGATCATTCATAATTATATGTACATCCTACGTAAGCTAATCTATCTTCGTAAGTCATTTTATTTATGTTGTCTTATTTTCCGCAACGGTGGGATCACATTTAATCTCTCCTTGGCGAAATACTTTATAAGAATTTTTTACGTATTTTGTTGCATTCGCCATTAACACGTCAAACTGATTACGTATGATACTATTATCACTAGCATGTAAAGCGCAGTTCTCTGATAACGGCCCACAAAGCTAAGCATCGTAAGGTGGAAGAAAGTTTCTCAAATTTAGGCAATCACATAAAAGATTTTTATCGATTTTTATCCATTATTTCAAAATGTTGTGTAAGTTATCTCAAATCTTCCTCTATAAGTATAATATATTCTCCAAGCTATATGCAGTCTTTAATAAGAAAGGACTAAACTTTAAGTTTGAAATAATTAACACACACCGTTTACTTTAATTCATTAGAAAGACTAGTAACTGCGAAATAAAGATCGTGTTCAGACAAAAGTATATGTATATCGTAACTATGATAAGTTTAACTCCATTCGGCCACTTTTCATTCTCTACCAAATACACATATTCCTACATTTGGTTAAATTCGCGAGACTTTTCGGCTCTATCCAGTCTCACACATTTTTCATCTTTCCTGCTCAAATCAACAACTTCAATTCATCGTGCGATAACAAGTAAAAAGCCTGTATTTTTATAGTAATTGAATTAATCGAATTGAAATGAGGAAACTAGGACAAAAGTAATCAAGCAAGGTCGAACCAAAAACGCTCTCACGAATATGCAACATTTATATGTCAATCGATTCAATGCAAAAATCGATGCTGCTCCAATTCGGCTTGTATTTACGGCGGGTCTATTTCAATCAGAAAAACTTTCTCACCATTTTCTTTAAGCCGGTGCCTCTCTTCTCTTTCTTGATCGACGTAGGCGTAGCGCTGCTGCTTCTCGACTCGTCGCTCTCTTCGATCAAGCCGTTCGCGGTGCTACCATTGGCACGATCACCGATAATTTGCGACAGCATCTTGAAATCCGTCGGGCTAGACTGAGAGGACCTGTCGTTCGACTGCTCCGAATCTTGACTCCACTCCCCCTTTTCGGAATTCGTGGAATTCGTGGAGAACTTCCTCTTGCTTCTCGTACCCAAGGCAGTTTTCATGAAGGACGGCGAGCTCAGTCTCGCGCCCTTGAGGATACTACCGGCCCTGAACGAGCCGTTCCTCGACGACTCGATCTTTCGTTCGACCGTGGCGTTCAAACACGGGCCTGATCTTTCGACGGGCCTGTTCACGATCACTAACGATGTATTAGGCTTACCAAGCTCGTTAACTTGGCGACCGAATTCAGAACTTGCTCTGGATTCCGCCTTGGCTCTATCTTCCGGGGCAGGCTGTGTTATTCGTTCTATTCTTTCTACCTGATCGTCGAACCAACCGACGACGGTATCGGGCGCGGATTCCGGCCTCTTGCCGACCGAATCCTGCAACTCTTTGGAGTTTGGAGAGTCTATGGACGACGATCTTCTCGATGGCAATGTTGTACCACCGGGGATCACGTTCAATACACTTTTGTAACGAACCACCTCTTGTCTCGCATCCGTATTGACTGCTGCTTTAATGCCGGCGGCAATTGCTTCTTTCTTGCGTTTCTTCTTTCGCTCCTTCTTCGTCTCATAGGGTCGATCGTCGATCATCAGCTCGTGATATGTGCCGCTAATGTGAGAAGCGATCTCGCTAGGTCGTCGCCTCTTCGTTTTCTTCGCCGCGGCATGAGAGCTGAAGTTCTCTGCGCTCTTTCGACGTATGGTGTCCTTCCTCGCGTCCGATTCGAGTTTTTCCTCCTCAAAATCTTCCCTGCGGCGACAGTAAGAGAGAATCAAGGTAATGATGATGATTTCCAAACAAATCAACAAGGTGTGCTGGATAATCGCAGATATTCGGCTGCGCCAGCTATCTCGATCGTAAAGAAGTGTTTCGACCGATTTAGAAAGTATCATAATTTCTTCCCTTAAAACGGCAATCTCTTCCGCTCTTTTCACATCGCGTTCCTCACTCTTTCGAGACTCCTCGCCCATAGCAGCTACCGCACGCTCCAATGAGCGCTGCATTTCTTCGACTTGCTTTTTGTAGCGACGGCTTAATTCTTCCAAGTATTGCCCGCTGAGTGACATATTTCTTTCTAAAATCTGAAAAAAAATATATATATATATTAATTGCATTAATAATATCAATAATTTAATTAATACAATTGCATGATAAATAATAAATAAATAAATAGTATACATGTCTCTACGACATTATTTTATTGCAGGGATGATATTCAACTCTACTTTCGTTTTTTTTTTTTATTTGCTTTCTTACAAATTTTTTTCCAATATTTTTAAAAATTTAATTTGACAAAATATTTTTTGAAAATCTCAATAGAGATTGTTCTTTCTTACCTTGATCCTGTTCGACAATCGAAGAAAAACAGACTCTTTCTGAGGAACAATATTTGCTGTGGGCTGAGTCGTCGGCGAAGAGCTGGACGCTCCATTCTGCATGTTAGCCGTGTCGACCTCCAAATCTTTTAAATCGGACAACAATGAATCCAACGAGAGATGATCTTGAGACGATAATCGAGCTTCTTGCTCGCCCAGATCTTTCATCTGTCTTCCGTCTTGCTCACCGTTTTCCGACTTGTTCATTTTCACTTGCGCAACAGTCTCAGCACTTTCCGTGTCAGGCACGACAGTCTCTTGACTAGTTTCTTGACTGTCGATGTTTATCGGCGGGACGCTGCTTAGAGACAATGTCGTTTCAACAGGAGTTCCTGAAACCGGCAACTCCTCGACCATCTTCAACGTCGGTGTCGGACTGGATGGCGGTGGAGCAGTCGTCAGCACTTGCGGCTGCAACGTCTCATCCGTGAATTCCTTACTGGGTTCCAAAATTGGTACGGAAGACTCCTTCTTCAAGTCCTCTTTACTAAGAGTCTTCGTAGGCTTGATCTGCGACGCCAAACTCTCCGGAAAACTGGAGGAAGTCTCTATAGTCGCGATGCTAATGTTTTCGCTTTCTTTATTGACATCTTGAATCAATGAATGCTGTCGAACCTCCTTGGAGGACGCGGCAGACTTGCAAGCGGAGAGACTCGAGTCCAGAGTACATGGGTCCACAGTAGAAGATGTTTGACCATTAAAAGTGATCTCGGCGCTATGATCGGTATTTTTAGTAGATAGAATGTCACTGGCAGCGTCCTTAGACTTATTTACGGAAATTTCGTAGCTCGTATTCATTACCACCTTGCGTTCTTTCGTTGCCAAAACGTTGCACAACGCTATGATATACTCGGGTTTGAAGAAAGATGTTAGAAAAGTCGTCTGGAAGTTCTCCGCCAAATTAAAGTGCGTCGTATCGTCGTGCTTCGTTTCAGCTTCCTCTCTTCTCCACCAAAACGATTCTATCTCCACGCCATGAAGACCGCACAGTTTTCCTTGTCTCAAAGTTCTGTTCACCAGATCGATCCTAAGCAAACCATCCAATTGTCGATTCTTGCAGCTAACCAGCTGAAAAACACTTGCGAACTTCTGATCGGTGCAGTTGCCGCAGAGGATCGTATATCTTGGTGTTGTGCAACTCGTATACGAATTGTCCAAGATGTTACCATGATCGATGCTTTGCTGGATCTGCGTGATGTTGTTTCCGGTGAGACCGCTGGACTTGACCAATATCTCCGCAGCTTTCTTCACTACATTTAGCACGGCGTCGCGCGCGCTACCGAAAAGATTGCTCGGTGAATCACCGCCCTCGCTATCCAACGATTCCTCTTCGTCACTATCCTCGTCGTCATCTTCGTCCGTGTGTTTTTCTTCTAAAGTTTCATTTTCCGTCTCGGTTTCCAGCACTTCAAACTCACTGGTGCCGTAAGCGCGAAACAATGAGACCGGACAAAAGTGTTCCGAACCATAGTGCGATTGGAGTTCGACCTTGATGAACTTGCCAAAGAAGTGAGGATGTAGAGTAAAGCTCTGAATGTCTTTCACATCCTTGGCAGTGAACTGACCGACCAGACTCCAGTCCTTGGTGGGAAAGCGATCGCTCACGTAGACAGAAAAGTCTTTCGGCGACGAGCTGAAGAGTTCGAAGTTCGCCAGCTCGATCTTTTTTGCTTGTATCGCTTCGCACAACTCGACGACAAACCAGACGCGTGACGTACAGGCGTTCAACATATATTCGTCCCGCGTAGACACCAAGACGTTCTTGGCACTATTCGCTTCGGGGTTGGCCGCCACGATCTTTGCGCCGCAGTCGGGAGAAGCGTAATTTTTATTACGAATTTTCATACCACTTACACCTCGTCCTGGACCACCCGGAGTCTGCACGGAAGCATTCGGATGAGCTGCAAAATAAAGATGAAATATAGTAAATGAGATTTTCTGAATAATAGCACCTAATTTAATAGGTTTTACATTTTATCTTCGTTATAACAAACATTATCAATCGATAGAGTTACCGATAACACTCACTTTTTTTCTTTTCGGCCTCCTCCAAACGCTTCTGTGCCCATTCGCTGAAAGATGGTATGTCCTCATGCGGTTCAGTAGGACCTGAAGTAACGAGTCCATTCAGGATCACTGCTGCAGTCTCATCTCTGCTATCGCCGACCAATCGTGCTCTGGCCGCCGTGTCGTTTAACTCAGGCGCCGTGGTGAACGTGTCATCGACCTTCGACGACAATTCCTCGGGCACCTGAGCCTGACCAGCCTCCTCCTCTTCCTCCTCGACTCTTAGCTCTAATTCGTCCGAATTAATCTTTTGCTCCGCTCTGACGATCACTACAACTTCTGGCGGTTCCTCAGCAGTGATTTTCTTCAGCAGAACCACGTCCTCTTCATTCCCGAGGATATCGGTATCATTCGGTCGTTCCGTCGTTTCGTCAATAATCGGCGGCGGTGGAATCTGCGTCGTTGGCACGGCCTCTTTCAAATGTTCGGATTGTCTGTCCTGATTGCTGCTCAATAACGACGAATTCTTGATGGAGGATCGCGAGGGAAATTCGTGTTCGAACTTTGGCTCGGCCAAATTCTGCAATCCATCCGTTGCGGTGTCCACCAGAGTCAATACCACCGCCTGACCGGTCTCAGAGATTCTGCAACAGACAAGTGTAAGTAATAAAATTAATAATTTACTTTAAGCAAATTTCAACTTGTTTTGTTAATGTTGTTATAAAATCTTTCAAAATGGATTATTTTTTATTGTTTAACAGATACTAATTAGGCAGCTGAAGCAATATCTGATTAAAATTTAATAAATCTTATATTGTCATTTCTTGAATTAGCTCCAATTTTCTTCAATTAGCTTTTTCAATTTATTTGAAAAATAACGATTCGGGAGAGATAGATGAGCATTATACAGTCTGTATATTATAATTTTGCATTATAATTTTCGTGCTATCTCTTCTTATTGCTGTACGACTTAAATAACTCTTATACGATTAAAGACATATGTTAATTTTCTTTCGTTTCTAAAATATTAAAATGTAAATGTTAATATCAGTCTATTACATAATATCCTTGTAAGAATATAATTACACAGTGACGATAAACATTATAAAATTTATCTCAAAGAAAGTCGGGGACGATGTTACAGTATTAAACTGCATTTATAATAGCGAATAACAAATGTAGCATTTCCGAATAATTAAAAAAATGAAGCAAACCACAATCGCTTTGAGATGCATAGAATTTTTATTTATACGATATATGTTAAAAATGTGACGCATGGCGATGAAAACTGAATAAACATCTAGTAATATAACTGTAGTTAACATACTGGAACAAAACTTGCATAACTCGTGAATGTAAAAACCGCAGTAACCACTTTAATATTAACAAGAGCAGTTTTTAGAATATATATAAATATATCGTACACATACATCTTCTGTATGAACATGTTTAATAAATTTTTAGTACCGAAAAGACTTAATCTTAAAATATATAAAACATGTGAGTTTCCAAAAATAAATAAAATGAGCCCTGCACTAAAAAGAAATTCACGGTGTATATTTTAACTATTGTACATGACAATTTTTTGCAAATTGTCGTATGATAACTCTTTTAGAACTAAAAAATATTTTAATTCAACTTCTAATAACTTTTTTAAATCCATAATATCACAGTTTTTCCATTCAATTAAATCTAAAATTAGGATTTACAAAAATTCTAATTTCACGACTGCAATCTAAGCCCAAAAGAATTTATCCTCGTTTGCGAAGGGAGTGAAAAAACGTATACATCAGCATCATCAAAGATGCTCGTTTTGGTTTCTCTAATACGAGAACGTTCTTGCTAACGCTTTCTCACCGATGATAGATGCATGCGGGAATGCACCATAAGACCGCCACTACAGCCAAGTAGAAGGCGGCCGCCTGAAGAAGATGTCTGTGTTGCCCGGCAGGATTAACAGTCCAATGCAGAGGACATCCGCCGCTGCAGTTCTTGGCGGTACCCTTGACCATTTTTGGCTGAGGTACATACACTTTAGCAGTCACTACTTCACCGTTGCTTCAGTCTGTTTAATCGTCGCGATTCCTTTCTTCGACTTTATCATATTTTACACTGTGGCGTGAGTATATGCGCAAATAATGTTCCTCGCGATTACTTTTACGATGGTTTTACGATAAAAACATGTCACGTGATATATCATAAACTCGCTGATTGTTCTCTATCGCTAGAGTCGAAACGAAGTGTGTCTGAGTTATATATTATAAATATCAAAATCTAAAAAATACCGATGCAATAGGCATAAAATGCACAATCGTGCAATTACTATGGCTGCGTTCGCTTACGGTTACAGCGCTTATAAGCATCATTTGTCCTTGTTTAATATTTGATAAACAACAATGATGAAATAATGTTGCGAGTGCTGTAAGCGCCAAAGCGAACGCAGCCTATATGTCAAAAGAAAGAAAAGATTTTACTTCATAATTTAAATGAATTTTCTACTGCATTTTTGAGATCCGTGATTTCAGAATAAATAAGTCAATCATTTGCGAGAAATTGTCATTCTCTCTAGTAACAGTAGTAATAGTATACGGTAGACAGAAGCGATAATACGACCGTAATCGACCGAGTATAAGTTAGATGAAAAGTAGTGGTAATTGACTGACACTGTAACTCATGTTTATATCAAGAATACTGCGTTATGCCATTTATCCCGGAGTTCAATTAAGAGTTACGCGTCGAGGTACGCGACGTTTATCATTGATATTATACCTGGTATGTATGCTTAGAATGTGCTATTAGTGCCTGCTATGCATATTCAATATTCGGAATTGGTTCAAAGGCACCGTAAACCAAACGCGTCTCTTTGCTATGCCATGTCGGAATTTGATCATTATCAGAATTGAGTGATTCCAAGTTCTTGTCCGTATTTCCTAATTTAACCTTTGGGAAATTATCTTCGCAATATAACGTCAGTTCTATCCGAAGAGTCATCTAAACTGGACGTTGAACGATTTATCGCTCACAAAGTGGAGTTTGCAAAGTAAGTTTTTCTCTCGCAGATATCGCAATAATATAAATCTTCTTCTTAGTGAAGTGTATTGGTGTCTTGACCGTATGTACCGCAATGTATTTCCGATGTCACACTTGCGAGCTGAACTTGACGTGTAAAACCGCGAGAAATGTCGACGTTGCTGTTACCAACTCGGTTAATGGTTCTCGTATAACTACATAATTAGAAAGTACTGACGTATGTAACCGCCGTGTGCCGGAAAATCTTGTATAAAGCTGCGTTAATCTAGTAATTGCAACTAAAGTGTTATAATTAAAAATAATTATATATTATTAAAAATTCATGGAATTAGTATAATTATATGAAAAAATTAATACATATTTCAATTAAGAAATTATATATAAAGCTATACAAATTAATTTAGTTTTGGTAAATATTTTCATATTTTGACATTTTAAAGGATTGATGTAAACTCGTAGATATTTTATATTGTTTGTTATTCAATTTAAAAACATGAAATCACCTCTACTAAATATCGAAATAATTCCGTTAACAACGTTATGTCGGTATCGTGTATAATTTTATTAAAACCGCAATGCTAAAAATCTTCAAATACACAAAGTATCAAATATTGATACCTTTTGGCCGAAATCTTCATAATATCAATATTATATAAAAATATCGGTCAAAATCGATGAAACATTGAAAATTCAAAATTCAAAATATTTAAGTTCGTATACTGAGCAACATAAATATCTGCAGAGTACATTAAGCTTATGCATTATGCGATGGGAAAATCAACTTCCGCTCACCGCTTCCGTTAAAAAAGATGATTATATCTTGATTACGATAATTGGCTTCGAACGGCCGGCTTATCGCGTGTGCATTTAATCGGAACGAATGGCGCATTGTAGACAGACCCTCAGATGAAGGCGATGTCACCGCGAATGGTAAAAGCTCCGTCGAGATCGTTTCACGGTCTGACGAACGTCGATCAATGAATGGGCCGGTTTGCGCGAGAACGATTGCCGCTGAGAAACCGCAATCCTGTCGACTGCTGTGCAACTTGCGAATACCAAGTCTCGAATGCAATCGAGAGAATCTGGCTAAACTAAAACGGCAATCGGTTTCGGTGGAAATAGTCAGTAGAAATCTAAACGGATCTAGAATCATGGCGATGAAGAACACAACTAATTGGCTAGCGGTGAAGATAAGGGATATAAAAAGTATATACATAAGAATAGAGATATACACAAGAAAAATCCGATAAAAATATACATCACTAACCCAGTCTCAACACATCGATCCGCTATTTCTTCTCAAAATTAAAATAATCGCTCGTTCATAGAAAAATAAGAAAATTATTTATTGATAATTTGCCGGGCCAATATTGCTACAGATGATAAAAACTGTTTAAAACAGCTAAGTTTCATGTCAATATTAATTTAACAAAAGAAATAACTATGCATTTCTCACTCTAGACACAACATACTAAACTTGTTCAGAAGTCTAACAGCATGTTACTGTCAACGACCCTAACGTAGTATTTTTCGCATCAATGCACGCGATACGTTCATAGCTGCAGGCATTCGCAAGTTTCATTCATAGACTACAATCATTTAACGTAGGTAGACGAAATGCGTTTCGACGATGCATTTCCCGTTTCTTCAATGGGCTATTAATAACGCTTTGCGATTTAGAAGTCATTCACCATTCGCATTGTTATCCAATAACTCGATTATGCGTGTGCACGTGATACGTCACTATAATGCAAAACACACAGATAGAGGCAGTGTTAAAGTGTATGAGATAAAAGCGCTTAACGAGTATAGAATTGAAAATCCGATAACATAAGCTTTATTCATTGAGTTATATTATATTCATTGAGTTATATTATATTCATTGAATCGTTAATCCATTTGATTCAATCGTGAAGAATAATAAAATATATACAGAAAATAGGAGAAACCAAAATATAGAAACGCAAACTAGCAACCGGATGAATTGTACCGTTTACTTACAAATATATAAATGTATTCCTCGACTTCTCATATGGTAGAAAAATAGATATGCTAACAGACGTGCAACGAGAATGATAAAAAAAATTGTTACCCTTAGTATTGGTATTTTATGTCATGCGTGGGAAAAGAATCGAGACAGAAGGTCTATGCGCGGCGAACTAATAAATAGCAGTCAATGATAAAAACACAATAATTAACCAGAGAAATTTATTCGTTAGAAAACGAAGGCGGTACGTATAAACCTGGATTCCCATAAACCTGTCAATCAAAAAACTAGAACGACACTTGAAGCAATCCGGGCCAGTTTTTCCTTTCCAGATGTCTCTTGCTCGTTATAAACAAGTTACCATTAAATATGTCATTATTATAAACATACCTTCAGAATTCACGCGTTACCTTCAGAATTATACCATCAATTATGTGACAGTCAATTATACGGAGCGTACGCATTAAAAGCTTCAATTGTCATCTAACTAACATAATTAACGCGAATTATAAATGCTGGAAATATAAGCGTGGAAAAATTAAATCATTAAAGTCAAAGGTCCGACTTAATAAAATAGGAAAATAGGAACCAGCAAGATATTAAAAAAGGTAAGATTATAACCTGAAGAGCAAAAGAGAAGAAAAATAGAAAATGAATTATTTATGCCATTAAGCAATTATACGCTGTAAAGGCGTCGTACGCAATTTCAATCACTTATATTTATATTAAATTATTGGATGTAACAATTTAGATTTCTACAGAAATTAAAGATAAGATTATTTATAACATTATATTACAAACAAGTTGTTAAACAAGAATATCAATTACATATTGGTCATTACAATTTTAATAAATATTACTTTATGTGAGCAACGCGATGCAATTTAATATCAACAATATTAAGTAAGCGATGCACGTTCGATCGAAAAGTCATTAGTGCCTATCTTTCTTCACGTTTCGTCGTAAAAGTCGATCGACCGCGCATTTGCATTTAAAATGAATTTCGTCTCTCCACGTAAAATCTAACATTATTTTAAAAAGAACTCAACAACATCAATATTAATTATATAATCCAATTTAGAATATATTATTTATACAGTATAGAAAATTTAAGAGAGGCAGACTTTATGTATTGTATTATATAATAAAAATATAAATTCAAGTCGCAAGGAAATGTTTTGTTGAGGTGATAATTAGATTAGATATTTCAACGGAATCTGTAAGTTTCCCAAAACATTTTCTCTCTCCGAAAACCGATGTACATCACGTTGAAAACCGACGCGAAATTTAAGTATCCTATATACATACTTGTAATCAGACAATTGGATTGTGCGTAATTGAATGCACTCAAAAAGTTTGTAAGAAGCTAGCGCGCTTTCTCAATCGGATATCGATGGCTCTTTGTGGTAGCACTAAATAATGTTCATATTAGCGCGCACATCCTCTATTGCGTGTACTTAGGCGATCGATAAATCTCGAGTGACAGCGAAATCACGAAGTGACTACGCACGAAAGTAGCTTGGAAATTCTATCGACTTAACGGCTTTCTAAGTAGCCTTTTCTCATAAGGCGCATAAAAATGTAAGAGTGCTCTTGACCATAGATCTCCTTTCTAATGTTACACCCTCGTTCTGTCGTTGCAATAAGGAGCGTATAATTGGATAAAAATCATTTGTGCCTTTCCATCCGTCATTCTCTAACGAGGCATTATGCTCTTCCGAAATTTAGCCTCTAACATTAATCATTTGCCGCGCGATGTTAAACATGTTTATGATATTAGAACAATAATTTCGTAATCAAATATCATAATTCAAAATCATAATTATTTATGTCAGAAGGCTTGTATTTTTTAAATTAATTATATCATAAATTTATATAATTAAAAGCATGTGTGTCTCACAAAATAAAAGAATGCAAAATTTAATTTACGGCAATCAAAACCTTAGTTTGTAAAAACCTCAAATTTGACTGTAGCAATTTTTTATGTATTAGTTAAACGTAACTAATAATCGACAAACCATTAATAGCTATTATTTATTAATGAAAATAGTATGATCGATGATTATAATTAGGTGGATGCGAGAGAGAAGGATGAAAATTGATCGTGACTCTGTTTCAGCACGTTCAAGAATGAGACGCTGATAAATATCTTGTTCGCTTAAAAAAATCGTTCCATGTTTACGCGCTTAGCGGACCATATAAATTGA